TATATGATCCAGATTATTACTACCGGCATGCTACCAGTAACACTGAACGGAGCGAAACGACCACTCGGCGTAGTCACTAATGGGGTTACGGTGAGTGTAAAGGAATAATATTATGATTGTTTCACAGATAAGCCCTGCGTTATATTTACAATGGAATGTTTGCAGTGACCTGTGGGCAGTATATACATCATTCCACATTCAGCATGCAGACACAGGGCCGGTCTGGGGTTAGGTCAGATGTCCGGTGTGAGATTCGACATTCACTTACAACAAACAAATTTACCCTAACCTTGTCATGCATACACTCTCGTTTCTATGCCCCTCCTGGCCCAATATATCGCCATGTCATGTCAGAATAGAATAGAATAGAATAGAATAGAATAGAATAGAATAGAATAGAATAGAATAGAATAATGATTCAAATCATGTACGAAGATGGTGAGTGTGATGTATTGGATGACGGAGAGGAATTTCAAAGGTTCAAGGTGAAGACAGTAGTGAAGAAGCTGATGGTAGCCGTAAGCCTGTCGCTACTTTTTAACCAAAATTGACACATTTCTAAAATTAACACAACATATTGTCCGACCACTTATTGTGGAAGACCCGTTGTAATGCCCCCATACGACTACAAAACACATAAATAACACCCAAAATCGAAATATATGTATAAGTATAAGGTAAAAACTATTTTTTAACTGAACGATATTTCCCGGGCTATTCACGGCTCTACACAACACACACAGTCGTAAGATTAAAACGGTATTTAGAAAATTATCCGACCAACCGCACGCCTTACGTCCCATCTTGCAAGAATATTTATTTAATTAAAGAACTCTGAGTGATGTTTTGAATACCCAAATCAGACCACTGCAATAACTCTGTCAGGAACAAATCTATGAAAATAATACACATGATATGTATGAGTGATTTAAATCTACTTAGCGGGATTGTTACTCGCTTCAACTGGTCAATCAGATCTCTGAATATGCAGGGTCAGAATTAAGCATCTTTATGTCAGATGACGTCACAGTGTGTTGCGTACTATTTCCTGGCGTTTTCACGTTAGAAATACCTTATAGATACGGAGAAAGGAATAATTTACAACTATATATACTAATAGTTGTATTGTACTGAAAACATAAATTTTAGCAATGATACTGTTGCTTATTGACAACGAATAAAAAATTCTGATGTAAAATTGGATAATTTACCCGGACACAAATGTAACTCACTTCCAGCGGTAGAGGGCGCATATAGTTCTGAGGTTCTGAAAATAGCCTTAATGGTTTTGAGGTTCTGATTCTGAATAGTGTACACTGTCACCGCGCAGTGGTTATCATAATTTAATTATTTCTTTACATTCACTGTAACCACGCCGAGGTCTGTTCTGCTATATCCAGACAATATACTACCATATGATATGGCACAGAAGACCACCAGTATGGCACAGTAGACTGATTGTATGGCATTCATGGCGCAGCGGATTGTCAGTATAGAGTTTGAATTGTTAATTAGTAGACCATCGGGCGGTAATATAATCATTTCAGACCTTAGAAATGATTACAGCCAAGGTTTTGCATTGCACTAATAAAGTTGGGTTTAACTTTGTGAAATGAATCTTATTTTGAAAACAACACATAGTTTATTAGGAAGTTTCAGCAGTAAATTAGTCATTGTAAAAAAACATATATTTTAAAATTCTAAAAGTAGACAAAGACAATTCTAGGCTCGGCTGAGACATGCTGAAAGTGTTGACTGCGAGCATAGTCTCGTTTGTGTTATATCGGCGAGTGACCATCTTGAATATAATGAATAATCGTATGTACACATATAACGCGATATTTCAACAATTGTTATGAATGTGTTGTTAGCAAAACACAGTCTACTGTATGCTGTCTACTTCAAACTTTTCAAATTTTTCAAAGCTACAACCTAACAATAACCAGAAATATTTAGCGTAAAAAGTCGCTCTTGCCATTTACGTCCGGGGAACAAGCTGCAAGACATTCCGGATCATTCTCTGAGCATTGCGCTACTTTGCTCTCCAGTTTCACTCTTTGCACCACTATTGCAATAGTTTGCACTCTACTTTATACACTTTTCACATGTCTCACGGGAATCACACTAGCGAATATTTAATGTATTGAACATTCTATACACAATTCAATATGGCACACTCCCCAAAACTGCTTTAAAGGTCACTATACTATACAAATACCTGCCTAGGACATTATATACATGTATATACCACGTGACTACTAAATAAAGTACATGTGACTAGAAAAAAAAGTGATTGCTGATTGATTTAGAGGCTACGCTCGGTGAAAAACGGTAATATTAAAACTGGTAACTACAGACAAAAAGATGATACCGTCCGTGACTGAGAATACATATTATTAAATAGAAATGGTTATATTCAAAATCATGTGAATAAGGTCCTCCAAAATGGCAATACTTGCAGATCTCATCGTTAGCCAATGTATCTAAGATTTAAGTTCCACAATGACAATTGTCCAACAACACGGTGTGTTACGTGTTACCATGGAAATTCGTCTTGAAATGAACTGTTCAACTTCTGAAAACTTCAAATCAGTACGTTGCATGGTTTCCAGCACAAATGGACTGAGCTGTATTTAATCGCTCCGTTTACTGAACTTGAACGTTGGACAAAATGGAATGTACTGCGTCCATTTCCATTTCCGTATGAAAGACATGCCGACCGGGAAATCGTAGGTTCTTACTGATACATCGTCCTCGTTACGTGCAATATCACGGGAACCGACTGTCATTTGTTTTTGCCAATTGATGAGACCTCTCTCTTCTTTCGTGCCTGAAATTGACACTTTCATACTTAGCTTTGTTAGCATACATGATAGACAAAAATGTGGGAAGAAAATATACGTAACGGCAGTTTTGTAGCTCCTGGTTTCGTTACAGTTCGTTCTCGTTATCATCGGTAAGATTAACAAAATATTTCCTGATAATAAACATTAACGATCAACGGGCACTATTTTATTAATAATAAGTAATAACACAACGTTGACACCACAAAGATGGCGGGTGGCGCTTACCTGGAACCGTGTTATCTAACACGAAACCCAAGAAACCACCAACAAACATACTTGTACTTAATAAGACAGTGATAATTTGATCTACTTCACGATTTCCTGTCAAAAAGAATAAAAATACAATTTGACTACTCCAGTGTCAATATCTGAACAATTGGTAATCATATTATTTCGACATTCGTATTTGTAATTAATCTTTTTCCATACAAATAGGGTAATTACAACCGTTCATTGACCACGGTAAATTAGTGTACACTTTTTTTTCTATTGTGTCGTCATATTTACCTGTGTCTATAACGCCTCTATTTTCTTCTTTTCCCAACCAAATTGGCAACATCAGCCCAACGAATGTAGCGAAACCAAATATGCAAAGATTACGAGCTGAATTCATGTCCACAAATTGAAGATTGGACACACCGACTGCTGTTATCATTCCTGTAAATAAACAAGTCATTAAAAACGACACAGTCCCCGTTAAATTTTTGAAAGTTCTCTTTGTTCTTGTCATATTAATGCGGAGGGGTTGTCACAAGCGTGTTCTTGAAACCTTAGTCCAAAGTGGCGTATACAACAGATTGTTTATTTACATCAAATTCGAACACGTGTTGCGTGACGACCCCTCCAGAAAAACATAGATCACAAGTGAAAGCATGTCCAACTTATCACATTTTAAACAAACGAGATGATATTTGATGAAATTGCAAATTGAATTGACATGTATCCATATAGTAGTAAGGCCAAAAAGTCAGATGGCTGTTAATCGGCCATCCTTTATCCAATTTTGAAACACATTGTCATGAACATGTATCCTAACATGTATAAAGTATGTGCCAAATTTGAATGAAAACTGACAAAGCATGTCCAAGATACCACATTTAAAAAAAAACAAGATGCCTGCCAAGTCGGTCATCTTTTACCAAATTGCGAAAGAAATTGTCATGGACATGTATCCTATCATGAATGAACGGAATCGGTCAGACGGATTCTGAAATATGACTCTGGACGGACGGACGCACGCACGCACGGACGGACGCACGCACGCATGGACGGACGGACGTAGACTAAACAAGCTTCAAATTGTACACATGTACTGAACATGCGTTTAATTATTTATTCAAATTATATGGATTATGACGTAACACAATAATTTTTGGCTTTCTTATTTAAAAGAAAAGATGTAACACACAATGATTTTTTTTATGATGCAGTGATCATGAATATTTGTTTTGCAAAATAGTTCAACGTTTTATGAACGGTCCATCAGTAGCTTATAAAAAGATGCATAAAGGTGGAGCTTGCCCTCTAGAGGTCACATAGGTATGATTTGAACGTCGCGTATACGAATACGTCTATATATCCACACAGTTATGTAGCTAATCTTTCGATAACGAATGAAAATGGTGTAACATTTGTGATAAATCTGAACAACAACAACAAAACAAAACAAAAGAAAAACATAAATCATGTTACGCAGTCATTGTTTTACTGGAAGGCTTTACTTATTGAGTAGATCCCGGAAACCTGAAACTCACCAAACATGACACAAAGGACGCCACCAACGACTGGTTCAGGTATCGTCGTGAACAGAGCACCAAATTTTCCAAAAACTGCGAATATTATTAGAATAAGGCTACAGAACTGTAACACACGGCGACTTGCAACCTATTTAGAAGAAAATACTGTTAATACCAAACTCACAGAAAGGATATCATTCCAGTTTTCAGCTTATGTTTTATTAGAAGATGCCCTGGAAAATCTGAATATTTGGAGCCAGTAACAAGCAGCCTATCGTCTGAGATAGCTCCGCTGTTAGCAATGCACATTTCAATTAAAGAACAGAAGATATCATTAGAAAATGAACAATATGTATAGTATCAAAGCAATCGGACTTACAGTTTTTAACAAGAAGTCGAAAATATCACTTTCTACCAAAAATGACAAAAATATTCACCAAAATTAGAGAATTGAAGATATCATCACGAAATGAACAAACCTGAGAGAGGTTCACATGTAGTGTAGTATCTATATATGTAATATCAAAGCAATTGAACTTTTGGTTTTTAACAAGAAGTCGAAAATATCACTTTTTACCAACAATTTCAAAAATATTCACCAAAATTAGAGAATTGAAGATATCATCACAAAATGAACAAATCTGAGAGAGGTCCATATGTAGTACCTATATATGTAATATCAAAGCAATCGGACTTACAGTTTTAACAAGAAGTCGAAAATATCACTTTTTACCAAAAATGACAAAAATATTCACCAAAATTAGAGAATTGAAGATATCATCACGAAACTAACAAATCTTAGAGAGATTCACATGTAGTACCTATATATGTAGTATCAAAGCAATTGGACTTGCGGTTTTTAACAAGAAGTCGAAAATATCACTTTTTACCAAAACAAAAAATGACAAAAATATTCACCAAAATTAGAGAATTGAAGATATCAACATGAAATGAACAAACCTAAGAGAGGTCTACCCAAGGTACATATACACCAAGTATCAAAGCATTCAGGCTTGTAGTTTTTAAAAAGAAGAAGTCGAAAAGTAAAACATTGACACGGACGACGACGGACGACGACGGACAATCACTCATATGATAAGCTCCGTTTGACAAAGTCGACAGCGGAGCTAAATATGAACAAAATATCAAGATTTACCCCAAATTAAATATGTATTAATCATCATTCTAAAGTGTTTAATAATTTTAAAAATATTTTGCTAAGAGGGGTCGACGAATTGTTTGTCCGAGTCACGTCAATTATTTCACAAGAGTACTTCGATTGTGCATGGAAGGGTAAAAAGACCTTCCATGGATTGTTATATAAAATTAACTCAGCTTTCAGCAGAGTGAAAACGTGCTTTATGATTCGCTTATATCAGTTGGACCACGGAGCATAACTCTGTAATCACATGACCACATCGCGGAATTTGTGAGAATGTGATTTCCATTAGTCTCAACGTATTTGAGTTATTGTAGAAAACAAAACAACTTCATCTGTGGTGGGGACGCTATTTTACTTTACATATACGAAAGTAATGAAATGATATAATTCTAAATGCCTAGCCTTCTCCCACATTTGCCAAACGAAAATAGCTTACACTAAAAACAGTTACATTTGATAGGCAGTATCGAATAACAACCCGTCAATGTCACTGAAATCGAGGATGGTTCCGTTCGAATGTAGAGATAGCCTGGACGCCACATACAGTAGATACCACACACGTAGCTGACGTAGTCTGTATAAGCCTCAGCCTATTAGAACGTGATAACGAAATCAATACCTTTGTGATGCCAATTGCACCAATGTTTTCAGAGTAAGACGTTGTACCGTTCCCAGAACCCCATATACCAGCTAAAACGCAACAAATTCCCTCTGTCCCAATACCTCTGTTGATAGCATGGATGGGCGGTGGCGGCGCTCCACTCAGTCGCGCACACGCGTAGTAATCACCAACTGATTCAATCATCGACGCTAATACGCCGGAGATCATGCCAAAAACTCCGGCAAAACTGACCGTGGGTTTGCCCCACTGACCTATGAAAAACACATAAAAATATGACAATTTCAGCGGCTGAAAAAACTAAAACCACCAAAAACATTAAAACTTGGCGTAAACATATTGGCAAACTTGTAAATGGAATAAAATAAGATGGATGGCTATAAACTAAACTGGTTTGCATGTGTTTTTATCACACTGGTGATTATCTGACTCTGGAGTTAAATAAGGGCTGGTTAAAATGCCCATTTTACACTGGTGTTTGCTAAAGCACAAGAACATAAAATTGCAGTGACCGGGAGTGAGTGGGGGAATATATTTCATTTGAGTCTGATCAAAACAATCTGTGCATAAATTTATACATCACACTGTTTTTACTCATTGCATTGCATTATGGGTAAATTAAAAGATGAAAATGAAAAATATGTATTTAGTGCATATATGGAGAAAGTTTATGTTACGTCACACATTTTAATATATGCATAGAATAATTACTTGCTAAACTAAGTCAGAAAAGTTATGTCTGTATTTTTTCGCACTGAGTGAAATATAATAGTACGTACAAATGACAAAACATGCACAGTAAGTATATACAACAAAATAATATTAAAATATAAAATTAAAGCGGAAACAACTATAATTTTGAACATTGTTTTGTATGAATAACACTATATAAAGATGATGAAGTATTCTTTTACACACAATTGCATTAACAAAGTGGCCATACACATGCGATGTGAAAACTAAGGTTCGAGTAGTCAAATTTCACTAAAGTCGATCACATCACGAGAAATGGCACATTAAATCACCAATGAGAGCCCATTAGAGTAAGAGTTATCCTTTCCAGACAATTCGCCCGACCCCCCCTGTAAAATGTCCTATTATACCGTAATCCCTGTGGTTTGCTTGACAAAACCATACCTCCATGACAAAACTAAATTTAAATATATGGCACCCTCTAGAGACCTTGACGTAATCCCATCCCCAACTTCTTGTGACGACACACAAAATGTTTTATTAAAAATAAAAATTAGAGGGAAAAAGATCGAGAGTTATTGCCGCTTTAATTTAATAATATTACAGAAATTAAACAAAAGTGACATGTCACATAACGAGATTAACATATCGGATTACTGTATAGTATAACAACTGGAAAAATGTTTTATTTCATCCAGATTTTAACCCATTAGTAGCATTTGTACTTGGTTGACATTTAAAGTGAATAATAACGTTTTAAATTTGAAATTGGACAGATGAAAATGTCAATAATAAAGTCAAACATTTGACATAATGAGATGGTACTGTTGCAAAAACACAAAAGCTTGACTTGAGAGAATTAGAAATTGTTTTATAAGCGAAATGCTTATTACTATTTTGATTTTTAAACAGAAACGAATCTGAAAAATTTCCAATCATAAAAGGTAAGGTATAAAGTATAAGGTGGTCTTTACGTTATACAAGGCGCGTTATTATTGAGGTAGTCACTATCACATGTTTGACTGTATTTTAAAAATATACATACGTCACATGCAAAAATTCAGTGAATTTGGTCGAAATCCCAACTCATTAATAGTATATCCTAGTTTTAAAAAGATCGAAAATAAACCGTTTGAGTTATAGTAACCACAATAAACAGATATTACTACGACGACGATGACGCCGACAACAACAACAACGACGACGATGACGACGAGGGCAGAACTTTCCTCTCATATATATATATTTCTTATTCGGGCAAAGTAAAAATTAAATATCTTTAAACTCCTCGAAAAAAATGCAGTTTGTGTACTAGACTAAATATAAGGATAACATTACCAGGGTAAGGAAACCAAATCCAGGGTGCCTGGTATAACACTTCAATTCTTGCATCAGTTCTTGCATTATAGTTTGGATGTTTCGGGTCGGTTGGAAAGACGTCTGTGGCAGTTAATATACAACATACGAGCCACGATACCGAAATAGCGAGAATGACCTACAGGAGACATGTTGTGAGACTAATGATGTGATATTAAGAATGCTTATTACAATGACACGAGGTAACAATGATATCATCACATTTATAACCAGCACATACAGACGACCTTTGTATGACTCTGCGTTGACAATCGGGTGAAGTCATTGGGTCATATATTGCCAATGTAGTCGAGAACATATTCCAGGCAAATTGTCTGCCTCATATAAATGACCTTTGTCCCCTAAATGCCAAAGAACGGCAGGGTTGGAATTAAGTACTTCCATAGCCACAACTAAACTTAACAATATGTTTCCTCCGATAGCTAATTAATACTGTGGCCCATAACGATAGTTTCTTCCCGATCTATACAACAACGAAAAATGCCTTTTCTTTACGCTGTCATGCGAGATTGCTATGTACGCAAAACTCATAGTACTGTGCGTCCCCTTCTACAAGTTATAATTGTACAGTGTAGCAAAATTACCACTGCGCGAAAACTGGACAGACACATTACATGATGAGCAAACAGCTGTGCAGAAAGCAGGAAACTGTGCAGCGATAAAGGTTTCAAACTCAATGGTTAATAGTGTTTCCTGTGTGTGGTCTGTAATAAAACGTGACAAAGCTCGTATTTATACTTACTGTACTTACAAGTCAGTGTTGTGTCAATAAATATTATTATTGAGCTTAATCTATGACGTTTCGAACAAGTCGCAATGGCAATACTGTTACTGTGAATATATTTACTCAACTGCCGCTCTCCTGACTGAACAATGAATTATAACAAGTTTGTGAATGGAAATACCTACTGGGAACAACATGAAGAATTTGATGCGTTTGAAGTGGCAACCTCTTGTTCTATCCCAGCCTGGTAAAGGAACATCGATATTTCGCAAATATTGCGAAAATATGATAATTAAAGCCATAGTCCTAGTAAAACAAAGTTGAAAAAAAAGGTTTAATTAATCCAAAAAAAAACAAACACGACAACATTTCTATGCTCATGTAACGCACGTCACAGATAGACGTTACGATACATTTCACGGATACTAGTAATACGATGTGACGACGCAGAAATCATGTGTTTGTCAGTACTTACATGAATGCCACTCCCCAGTGTTTACTTGCATGTAATGCCGCTGGCTCAATGAGGGCCAGACCAACCAGTGTTATAGTGGGTGCGATTGACAATGGGCCAATAAAACGCATCAGTATACCTATTAATCCGCTAAATCCGAAAACTACTTGAAAGATTGAAGCCACCATAATAGCACCTTGGATCTACAAAAAGTAACGAATACAGTAATCGATATATTACGTGATACCGATTGATACCGATTACACGTAACAATACAAAATCCACTATTAAGTATTTTCTTCCGTAATCACATGAAATTGATTCTGATTGTTCACGGCACATCGCCAACTCGGTCTTCTATTTAGCTGTGTCGCATTGGGCCCAAAAATGTGTGTCACAAAGAAATAAAGCAAGACCTGCCAGGGCAACAAATTAATTCGATATATTCTAGTATTTGGGTACTTGATACATCCTAGAATTGGAGAACGACTGTGAACAACGCCATCAAGCGACAAAGTGCGTCCGTGACTTCAAAATGGCGCCGCGAATATGATGAACGTGATGCCATTCAAATAGATTGGTTGTAAAATCGTTCGTCATTTACAATACATCAATTTTCTAGTAAACATTATTCTTTTATTGATAGACGACCACAGAACAACACAAACGCTGAGATTGGCGTCCCGAACATACGTTTACGTCACAGAAGCGTGTCGTCGTTAGAGGGCGCGAGTTACATTATCGTAAATCGAACTACATATATGTACATTGTTTACCTCTCTCATTCGAATCTTCCATATCTCATTGGGATCATCTAAGTTATCATCACGATATTGATAATCCAAGCCACGTGGAAGTGAATAATTGTATCGCATTGCTGTGGTCCCGTTGGTACCTGGGTGAAGATTTGAATGACCGTGACAGTTAGTTAGACTTTTAAGCAATGTTAATACAAACTGTAGTTTTGCACGATGAGTGAAACCTACCATCCCCCAAAAAATTCATTGACGTTCTACCCTGAATGGTAATCTATCAAATGAAACTCAAAATAGAACACGTTTCACGTGATGTTTTTGTCAGAGTACTTCATAAAAGCTGCCATCTTGTTTATTCTAGTTGGCAGCTATATATAGCGAGTACAGTCACTAAACATCAATCGCGTCACGTCTCATGGATAGTCACGTGGTGCCAAATTAGTTATGCACGGGGAATATTAAATGCACCAGAAAACTGCAAATGGTCAAAAACGGGACTATGCCTAGGCACCGTCCCTCAATTATGGAGCCTGGAGGATTTGTAGCCTACGGCAGAATACACCTGTAAAAATAATTACAAATCTCTGTAATCTTTAAGTAAGATTTTGTAAATGAAATTAAAGACGGCGGCATTTTTATAACAAATTCGATTTTTAGAGGCACTGTTTTTATTGCATATTTTTGGCATGCGTATTTGCATACTGTGAAATGACTAATTTTCACTGGGTTTAAAATTCGCTGATTTACAATTTCAGGCATATTTAGTGGGTTTTTCAATACAAAGTTTTATCACTTAGATAATGTGTTCTCTGCTAAATTTTACATAATCACTGGGTTTTAATTTAGCACATTTTCCAGCCAGCGAAATAAGCAAAATTAAACCCCGGTAAATAACCCTTTTTCAGTAATACATAGTCCTACCTTCTGGGCATTTCCAGTCAGGCAAAGACAATATGGCGATAGTTGGTGTTAACAGAGCAAATGTACCGCCTTGGAGTATTGGTAACCTATTTTTAAGAACAAGAACAACAACATTGAAATGGTCTTTATGATTGATTGATTACATGTTTTAGGTACCCCCACGTACACAAACACTGGATATGCAATCAGCATAACTAGACTACTGTCTAAGTGTAGATGTTTTGATCAAGAGGTAGTTATAAACTCAATCAGTGCAAAAGTGGTAGTTGGACACTTCGTGTGGCGCATGATACATCTCTAGACACGGTGAAAG